ACATAGAAGCTGGAAGATCTAGTCTGTATGATACAGCTCCAATGCACTCCAAAATCCGGAAAGGTCCAATATATCTCGGTGCAAGCTTCCCTCGCCTCCCGAATCGCTGTACGCCTTTCATAGGCGATACCTTCAGCATAACCTGATCCCTAATCTGAAATTCTAGGGGTCTTCGCCTCTTATCTGCATAGCTCTTTTGCCGACTTTGAGCGGCTAGAATCCGCTCTCTGATCAAAGCTACCTTCTCAGTAGTCTGTCTCACTAGCTCTGGCCCAAGCATCAAGCTGTCCTCCGGCTCGGCCCAACATATCGGTGATCTACAAGGTCTCCCATACAATGCTTCATACGGGGCCATACCGATCGTCGCTTGATAACTGTTGTTATAAGCGAACTCTGCTAGTGGAATATGATCCTCCCAACTGCCTTGGAAGTCAATGACACATGCCCGCAACATGTCCTCCAACACCTGATTCACCCTCTCTGTCTGACCATCTGTCTGTGGGTGGAATACACTGCTATAAGATAGTCTGCTGCCAAACGAGTCCTGGAAACTCCTCCAAAAGTGTGAAGTGAAAACCGATCCCTGATCTGATACGATCGTATCTGGCACTCCGTGAAGTCGAACTATATCCCGAATGAAGATCCTCGCATAAGTCTCGGCTGTATAAGTAGTCCTCACTGGGATAAAATGTGCTGACTTCGTCAACCGATCCACTATCACCCAAACCTAATCATTCCCCTTCTTTGACTTCGACAATCCCACTATGAAGTCCATGGAAATATCCGCCCACTTCCACTCCGGAATAGGCAAGGGCTGAAGTGTCCCTGCCGGTCTCTGATGCTCTGCCTTCACCTGCTGACAGGTAAAACATCTAGCCACATAGTCTGCAATCTCTCTCCGCATACCACTCCACCAGAAATGTCTCTTCAGGTCCTTGTACATCTTTGTGGTCCCTGGATGTACTGTGTACCGAGTACGGTGCGCCTCATCAAATAATTCCCTCTTCAGCTCTGCACTAGCTGGCATAACCAACCTACCCTTCATCCGTAGGCCTCCATCTGCTCCAATGGTCCAATCAGCCTTAGGCTCCTTGGAAATCTCCTCCTTTCGGATTTGAATCCAAGAGTCTCCCGACTGAGCTCTGACAACTCTGTCACTCCAAGATGGCTGCACTGATACAGCTCCCAAAAATGCACTGGTCCCTCCAACCTCGGGTCTAAAATCAAACTGACTAAGAGTGATAAGGTCTCTGTACAATGAACATCTCAAAGCTGCTACCCGATGTCGACGCTTCCTACTCAAAGCATCTGCTACGACGTTCGCCTTCCCTGGATGATACTGAATCGCGAACTCGTAGTCCTTGATAAACTCAATCCACCTCCTCTGCCTCTGATTGAGTTCCTTCTGAGAAAAGAGGTACTTCATACTCTGATGGTCTGTGAATAACTCAAACTGCACTCCATATAAGTAGTGCCTCCATGACTTCAATGCAAACACCACCGCTGCTAACTCCAAGTCATGAGTGGGATAGTTCTGCTCATGCACCCTCAACTGTCGAGAGATATAGGCTGATATAAGCTACTACCCTCTGAATCTGCATCAATACGCCTCCTAAGCCTGCCAACGATGCATCTGTATAGACAACGAATGTCCTGTCACTGGTCGGGATAGTCAGAACTGGCACCGTAGTCAATTTAGTCTTCAAAATATCGAATGCCTGCTGGCACTCCATACTCCATATAAACTGTACACCCTTCTTCGTAAGGCGTGTAATCAGCGTCGCAATCTTCGAGAAGTCCTGAATGAACTTCCTGTAGTATCCAGCTAAACCCAAAAAGCTACGAATCTCTGACACCGTCTTCGGGGGCTCCCAATCAAGAACTGCTGTGACCTTAGCTTGGTCCACCGCTATGCCCTCTCTACTGATGACGTGGCCAAGAAATCTGACTTCTGAAAGCCAAAATTCACACTTGCTGAACTTGGCATATAACTGGTGCTCCTGAAGAGTCCTCAACGCTATCCGTAGATGCTCCTCGTGCTCCGTCTCCGATCTCGAGTAAATGAGTATATCATCGATGAAGACGATCACAAACTGATCTAAGAAGGGACGGAAAACCCGGTTCATCAAATCCATGAATAATTGGTCAACCCAAATGGCATGACCAGGAACTCAAAGGATCCATATCGAGTAAGAAAGGCGGTCTTGGGAACATCCATCTCCCGAACCCGCAACTGATGATAGCCAGAACGAAGATTAATCTTCGAGAAATACTGCGCTCCCTGCAACTGGTCAAACAAGTCATCAATCCTAGGTAGTGGGTACCTATTCCGGATAGTGACCTTGTTCAACTCTCGATAATCTATGCATAATCTCATACTACCATCCTTCTTCTTCACGAAGAGGACCGGTGCACCCCACGGAGAATGACTCCGACGAATAAAACCCTGAGCTAACAACTCATCCAACTGGGTCTGAAGCTCCCTCATCTCAGCTGGTGCCATGCGATAGGGTGCGCGGGATATCGGGGCTGTGCCAGGCTGTAACTCAATGCAGAACTCAACCTCTCTCACAGGAGGTAACCCAGGTATGTCCTGAAAGACATCCTGAAAATCTGAGACAACTCTAGTCTCCAATAACTCGACTCCCTAATCCCGTCGCCTCACCTCCTCGATGTACGCCAGAAACGACTCCGCAAATCGGTTGCCCTGAGAGGTGGCTACAATCATCTCGGACCCATCGGACGCTCGCAACTTGACTGTCTTCGCAAAGCAGTCAATACTAATATGGTAGGAAGACAACCAATCCATACCAAGAATGACATCAAACTCGGACATATGCAACACTATCAGATCGACTATGAACTCCGACTCGTCTAAACTGACGGTACACCTCCTACAAACGCTCTCCAGAAGCGATACCTCACCTAAAGGGGTGGAAACAGATAGAGGGGTATCTAGAGGCTGAGCTACGAGCTGGAGTCTAGTCATAAATGCATGCAAGATGAATGAATGTGAAGCTCCCGAATCGAAAAGAATACGAGCTGGAAAGGAATTCACAAAGAACGTACCCTCTACAACTGTCCTCCGCTGGCACCGCGATCACGGAGTCCGGTACCACTGGCATTTAAACTCTGTCTGTACCCTGAAGTTGCTCTACTGCTAATGCTGCGAGAGTATGGACATCGCACGCCTGGGAAGCCTCCTAAACTGCTCGAACCTTGCCCCTCTGCTCGTCTGCGTCGTGGCGGTGCCTCAAGCCTGTTCGGCTGACCCTGACCTCTACCCTTGCTGTCGCTGCTGCCCTGGCTAGTTCGGGCCCTTGCCCTGCTGAGCTACTGCTTGCGAACTACGACACGTCTGAGCCTTGTGCCCGACTTATGTGGCACGTTGAAACAAGAACCCTGGGAACTTGCCGCTGCCTGATGCCGCTCGTTGATCCTCGGGTCCTCTTCTTATGAGGGCCCTGCTCTGCTGATGCTGATGCCCTGGAACCAAAAAGCGTCTCTTGTTCTTACCCTTATCCCCGCTCTGCCCTGCCTTGGTCTTCCCTTCTTTGTCCTTCAGGAACATAATAGTTTCAATCTCCTGTGAGGTGGCGGCCTCAGCTACCTCCCTAACGGAATAGAACCTCCTCGAGACGAGGTACCGACGGAGATTAGGGCGTAGCCCTGCTAAAAACATCTGAGCTTGACGCTCTCCTGTCTGCCACATACCCGTGAAATGCAGCAACTCCATAAACCGGCTCTCATAATCCGCCACTGTCATGTCCCCCTGAGTCATCCGGGACAACTCAAGCTCCTTCCCAGTCCGTGCTGCAGAAGAAATATACTGCCCATCAAAGAAGTAGATGAAATCCTCCCATGTGAGGGTCATCCTCTGCTCTGGGGTAAACTGTAATCGGTACCATCTCCCGGCATCTCCCTTCAGACTGTAGGATGCCAACCTCTGCTTTTGGACCGAATCTACACTGAGTATGTCAAGTATATTGCTCACATCCTCCTTCCACTTGTGTGCTGCAAGAGGGTCTGGTGACCCCTGGAACTCGGGTGCCCTCATCTTCTGATACCTCTCTACTATACGGAGCCAAGCTTCCTGATACGTGACTCTGTCGGGTACCGCTAGTGGAATAACTGCAGGTGCTACCTCTAGGTCTCTCTCTCTGATCGGGACGGCTGGTATCCCCTGCTGCTGAGCTACAGGTGGTGGTGGCGTCCGAGGTGCTATGTGAGTAGTTACCAACTCCTCTATGGCTGTCATCCTGGCAATAAGGGGAGCCATGATATCCACCAAATACTGGGGAGCCTGCTGCGGCTCTGGTGGTGCCTGCTCCTGCTCGGGTGGAGCCGGCTGCGGCTCAGGTGGGACCTGCTGGGGCTCTGCCTGAGCGGCCCTTCTAGTGCGGGGTCTCCCACGTCCAGCCATCTCTCTGATCAAAGAAAAAATAAGGTTCATGAGTCAAAGTAGACGTATATATATAGTTCATCTCAATATGATTTTCACATCACATAATATTCAAGCATATACTTTAAGCAAAATAGTTGCCATAAAAAAAAATATTCTCAAAATTTTGAGATATACGCATATATCGTCCTCACTCATACTAGGAAATCCTTAGCGGACTCTACTCATGAATCCTAGGAAACTCTAACCTAGCTCCACGACTCAACACAGGATGACTCGACACAGGATGATCCTAAGGATATTGGAACTAGAGCTCTGATACCAACTGTGACGCCCCTGGGTTCACACAAGGCTGCAGTCCGAAGTGAAACCAGAGATGTCAAACCTGCCATGCACCACACCGTGCAATAACATGTTTTACCATCACAATTACTATCTCTCTAGTGGAATCAAAAACAGGTGTAGTACAAAGCAAGTAAAAGGTTATACAACAATTGCTTAATGGAGTGATAGGACTCAAATAAACACATCTCATCAATCAAAAATAAGCTGAAGCACACAGTCAAAGTCCGAAATGAATAATAAAGATCTGGAGAGCTCAACATGTCTCAAAGTACATAATGTCTGATACAAGAAATAAGGCAAACAACCTTTATAACTCTAGAACATAAACCTCTCAAGTCTAAAACATCTCAAGTGGAGTACAAAAAATAAATACATCTAAAAAGAGGATAGTAGACACTAGTAAGGGTCGTCCTCAACCTGCGACTCTCCGGGCTCCTGGCTCGTTACCTGAAAGGGGGAGGGACAACGAGGCATTAGCTTGAGCCGCGTGATCTCCTCTTGGTGCTCGCTCTGTTATTGCTTGATTCCTCAAGGTTGGACAATCTCTCTTGAAGTGCCCAGGTTGACCACACTCGAAACATGCACGGTGAAGTTTGCAATATCCAGAGTGATGATTGCCACATCTAGGGCAGGCTGTTGACTTATTTGGCTGATTTGCTCGATCACGACGAAAGGGAAATTTTGATGTCGCTGACCTCCCGGGCTGATTCGATGCTGACTTATCGTTTGTGGGACCTCCTTCTGTTCGTGGGCGTTTAACTAAACTCTGCTTCTTATTGTGGATCTCCTGATACTCTAGCAGGTCTTTCTCAATTTCAAACGCAGTCTCCACCAGTTCTGCGTAGTTCCTGATTCTGAGGGCCACTAGTTTCCCTCTGATATTTCCCCTGAGTCCCCTTTGAAACTTCTTAGCCTTATCTGATTCTTCAGCAATCAAATGTGGAGCAAACCTTAATAGTTGAGTAAACTTAGCCTCATACTCTTGGACCGTCATGTTATTTTGTTGCAAACCTTGAAATTCAATAGCCCACTGATCCCTAACACTCTCCGGGATATATTTCTTATTCATAAGCTCCACAAATCTATCCCAATCAATCTGTCTCTGGGCAGCCCTTTCTAATCTTAAGGTTGCCCTCCACCAATGTTCAGCTTCCCCTCTGAACATAAAGGCGGCGAATGACACCTTTTGCTCCTCTGCACAATTTAAGACTGTAAAAATCTTCTCCATTTGTAAAATCCAATCCTCCTCATCCAGGTCAAGCTCTCATCCAAGTGGAATTCCCTCTTGGAACTCATCAAGTAGGGGCTATTGTGCTACCTCAAATTCCCACTCCATAGGCATCTCCACTGGATCCTCATCCTCCATAGGGTTCTCCTCAGGTTCCTCCTCCTCGGGATCCTCATTCCGATAGGAACAGAAGATCCTTCTTCAATATTCTCCAGGTGATGTCCTTCCTCATTTTGGGTCTGATTTGCTCTTGTTCTCACCATTATCTATATGAAAATGTAGCAGCAAAAGTTCAGATTCCACAGACTATTCATGTTCTCACCATTATCTATATGAAAATGTAGCAGCAAAAGTTCAGATTCCACAGACTATTCAAAGTACTTTACTCAGAAATATTTCATCGCTCGCATAATATATATAAGGAACTTCAACAATCAACTTAGAGTACTGATTTCTCCCAAAGCTTTTCATTGATATAATATTAACATACACCTATTCATCCATACAAGAGTTCTACAAAAGTACAATAATCTATATCTGATATATAGATAAAAAGTATGCAGTCCCAAAATACACCACACTTGGGTGTCCACCCAAAAGCCAAAAGTAATAAGATTCCTAAGCTTAGTGACCCAATGGGTCAACCTCTAGGAAGAGGTGGAAGGGCTGCTAGAAGTAGATTCTGTATCAGAGGCCTCAGTCGGCTATGGTTCACTACCGTCGAGGCTAATCTCCTCCTGCTCATCGTCCTCTGCCGGATCCTCTACCATCGGCTCATCCTCCCATGCCCAATCCTCCTCATCTAGGTCAAGCTCCCAACCAAGTGGAACTCCTTCTAGGATCTCACCAAGTAGAGGCTCTGGTGCCACCTCAAATTGCCACTCCATGGGCTCCTTATCGTCCATAGGATCCTCGGGGTCCTCCTCGGGGTCCTCCTCCTCAGGATCCTCCTCTATCGGGTCCTCCTCCACGGGTTCCTCCTCTATCGGGTCCTCCTCCTCTGGGTCCTCCTCTATCGGGTCCTCCTCCTCGGGATCCTCTTCTATCGGGTCCTCCTCCTCGGGATCCTCTTCTATCGGGTCCTCCTCCTCGTTCCTCTTCGCCAACCGCCCACGGGTATGATGGCCAATCGGGGAGTAATCCACTCTCTCCCCAAAAATCTCCTCTGGGTCAGTCTCCTCAGAGCTGATCTCCCAATCCTCTGAAAGTGTTGACCACACCTCCCCGCTACTAATGGATCCTTCCATCTCAGAAACACTCGAATCTGAATCTGCCATTCCTGCCAAAAGTCATCTATCAGCCTCCAATAGTACAAAACCAACCTAACAGAAATCTAGATATCACAAGAATGTCATGGAAAGATAATTCCTCCATGACTGGGGTTTGACACCGACTAGAAAGATCCCTACGTCCCCTAGGTATTTCAATGTAGGACTCATAAGGTGTCAACCTGTGCTCTGATACCACTGTGTAACGCCCCTCCTCTGGGAGGTACATAAAAATTTGAGCATGACCTATCTGTAATAAGAAGGGTCGACCTGCTTTATCTTTCGCCCTTCAGTATATCTATGTTGTGATGTGCATAAAGATTTAGCAGGTCGACCCTTCTTATTACAGATAGGTCATGCTCAAATTTTTATGTACCTCCCAGAGGAGGGGCGTTACATGAGAGGCGAGGGTTTCGTATTCTTTGTCCATTGATGCGGCATAAACATGTACCAAAAAGGTTGCAAGTGCACAACCGTGTCAAGTTATAGTATTTACTTACATCCTAAGAGAGAATGTTGAACCTTAACCCTGCTTGAATGTCTCTAGATTTCTCCTCCTGAGGAGAGTGTTTCGCTAGACCTGCAGTCTAGATCTTGGAAAGGGCAGCAACGGCGCTCTAAATCTATCAAAAGGGCAGCTCAAGGTTCGGTTCAGGTTCTGGTCTTCTTGAGGGGAGTGATTGTTGAATAAGATTCATCAGAAGGAGAAGGAAAAGGAATTTGTAGCCGGATCAAGATTTGACTTGGCGGATTCACTTGATTATCGACCTGTCTAGCTGACCAAGTGAATGGGATTGCATTCACTTGAGCTTGCAAGGATGAACTGGGATCTGTGGTTATTAGGGGTTTGACCACGAGTTGACTCGAAATTTTCGCTTTCTGCTCTTTCACTCCCAACTGGGCACTGAGCTGTTGACGCAACGTTGGGAATTGATCTATCTAGCTATAGCCTTGGAGTGTTGGAGTTGAGCATTTGTCGGTTGATTGCATGCAGAATTCAACGTGCTAGATGTTTGAGTCAACGATATTCGTGGTTTGAGTAGAGGCCTTAATTATGGTTTCTAAACCACTTTCCCACAAGGACATTGAGACGTTTATCTTGATCTGGATTGTGAGGAGTTTTTGAATTACAGCTTTGATGAGGAGGAGCTGATTTTGAATACGGTAGAATTGGGTGTGAAGATTGTGAATGAGAATTGAATGGAACTGAGTGTTTCCCTTAGGAAAATGTTGGGTCGAAGGCCGGGAGTGAATTTTGAGTTCGGAGATTTCTAGATCATGCAAAGTTGGGGATGATTTCTCCAACTTGGATTGTAGGTTGGAGCCAATGGATCATCTTCTAGGGTCTGGAGATGGCAGCGTTAATTCTGTTCTAATCGATGATTTGTTTCCGTCAAAGAGGGCATCTCTGAAAGTGGGTAGGGAGAACTGACAATTATGACATCCGCTGGAAACGAAACATGATTGATTGAGCTGGAGGCTCGTTCCTTAATCTTTAAGGCTTCTTAAGCCTCCCGCAGAGTTGTCCGGCGCCTCTTTGGCTTCAGAGAGCAATGTTGACTCCAAGGACAGAGCACTAGACTTGAGAATGGGGAACTGATGCAACCTGTCATCGGCACTGTTCGCCATTGGCATTGTTTTTTCAGAAAGACCTCGCAAAAACTGCCCAAGGCTTCATCAGCATTTTCTCATAAAATCCCGTGGCAATTGATTCTAAGGAGTTTTTGCAGAATAATCTAATCCCTTCATAAATTATTTGGCACATCGCCATTTCTCTAAACCCGTGATGAGGACATTCGGGATGAGAAGATTTTAAAATCGGTCAAAATACTTCCAAAAAGGTTCTCAACCGGGATAATTTTAGTTTGAATGCTGTTTCCTAAGCTTTACCGGTTTTATGAATAGGAAAAAATTTCTTAAGAAAACGGTGTAACAAATTCATCCCAAGTTTGAGATGATTGTTTGGTAGTGTACAGCTTTTTTAGGGCTTTATTCCTTGAGAGGCACAATGGAATTAATCTAAGCTTAACGCGCTCTTCATTTAAGTTCTCTCATTTTAAATCATAAAACAACTTCCTCAAATTCCGAAATAAAAATAATGCGTGCTTCTGTTCTATTACCAAGGTAATTTGGAAGCATGTTTATGTATTGCGTGTCTAAGCTGCAAAAGCATTATTCCATTTGTTCGGGGAGCCTAATGCATGAGGGGATTGCATTTCTAATGGGATAGCACATATCATGAAAGAACGGGTGGATTAGGATGCTCCATTTCTATGATTGGGTTCAAAGCGAATTAGTGCGAGTGTGTATTATCGCCTGATCTGTGTGCATACACCAAATATTTTTTTATTTTTTTTAACAATTTTATTTAAAGAAAGAAAGAATTACGTCTTTTTTTTTTGAGAAGAATAAAGAAAAGAAATCCCTAATAAACAAATCAATAATCAGTTTTCAATCATCTAATTCTAGATTTTTAGCCTAAATTCACTAGACCAGTCCTAACCAAACTCCTACAGTGAAAAGATAAAAGTTTTACCCAGGTAGTTAAGCAGGTAAGGATGTACTAGAGGGTGGATCAAGATCAATTAAAGTGCTCTTTCCTTACGGAGGCGCTTTACGCAACCCTAAACCTTGGGGCCTTAGACACCAACTAATCTGGAGAAAACTTAAACCGGTTCCACTGACTAAGGTTTCTTATTCCTTATTGAGCTAGAATCCTTAGGGGCAACGTCTAATCGGTTTTATTTAGGCTTTGGGTGGTGTAGTGAAGGAATTCGTGATTTTTGGGCTAGAGGAAGGTGATGAAAATCCTCACCTTATCTGATTATGGGGCTTTGCACCTTAAAAGATATTTTTGAGTGTGTGTCAATCAAGATGCTCCAATCATGCTTGGTGAACTTCTATACTATATGAATCACCTATGAATTAAAAGCAAACTAAAAAGGATGGAAAAAAAAATTTTTTTTTTTTAATTAGGGTTAACAACATACAAATGAGAAGGGGGGGATTTTGGTTTGAATTATTATCTTGTTAGTAAATCGTCAAGGAGGTGATTTTATTATGGCAACAAAAAATAAAAATCTCTTTTTTTTTTAACAAGTCCTAATGTGTCTCTAATTGTGAAAAAGTAAGCATAAAGGGTGGAATTTAAACTAGAAAGAGGACTTACCCGAAAGGCAATCTTCAAAATCCTAGCTTCCCAATGCGCGCGGATCCTTCAGCTCCAAGCGTTTCCTTCAAAAAAAATACACAAGTTAACATAGAACGCAAAATAATTAAAACGCTACTTAAGCACTTCCCCGGCAACTGGCGCCAAAAACAATAAAATGTGATTATCAAATACCCCCACACCTAAACTTTTGCTAGTCCTCTAGCAAAGAAATTAAAAATAAAATCCTAACTCACTTTCGCAGGAATCGCGCTTGTATTTAGCGCATACAACAAGCCTTTAAACCCCTAGGTTACCCTAGTGGACGAGTTGTAGTCTCGTGAGGGTTTGCAGTGAATATACCCACAAAATTCGGTCAACTTGCCAAATTAAAGAAGTCAGTAAATAACTAAATTCACTTGATAACTTTTAGATAATCTAATTGGAGCCAGTTATCACTCAAGAAAACATTTTTATATATAACTCTAAGGTATATTTTTAAGAAAATCTTCTCATTGTAGCAATACAAAACCAAGCCAAACTTAAAAATTTAATTTAAAAGTTTTGAAAGTAACATGCTAACT